GGGCATCCACAGCTTCTCTGGGCAACCTGTTCCAGTGCCTCACCACCCTCTTCGTGAAGAACTTCTTCCTAATATCTAATCTAAACCTTCCTGCTTTCAATTTAAGAGAGAAGGCTGAGGCGACATTTCTTCCACCTGGCTGGGTGCTGAGGAAGGGCCTAAGATGGCCGCTGTCACAGGGCACCTGTGGGGAGACAGAAAGCGGGCTGCCAGCGTGTCCCCTCATGGGGTCAGCCATGGCATTGGGCAGGCCTGAATGCCTCACGCCACAGACCATATTAAAAAGCACCCTCCTACCCATCCCCTTAGCACAATCCATGGACAGGCTTCAAGGCTTGGGCTTTAGCAAGGGATGACAAAACCCTCCCATTTCACCCTCTCTGAAGGGACACCTTCTCCTTCTTCCCAGTCTGGAGAGCCCTGGCCTGTTTGTGAAAGCTGCCCCGGGCCCACCATCCCGGCGCAGGGCAGGGCTCCCCCCGCACCCTCACCCTGGCACCCCACCTGGCCCACCGGTGAAGGCGGCCAAGACCCATAATTTCACCCCTCGCTCTTATCATCTGAACTCCATTTTTCAGCTGGGCAAAGCTGGGGTGAGCCTCCTGCTCTTCCGTTTCCCAGCAGCAGAGCCCTCTTCTCCTGCCCAGCCCTAGGGAGAAGGCGGACACTGGCTGGGTGGGCTGGGTCCTCAGCTCTCAGCTGCCAGGGATGTTCCCACAGGTACGGCTGTGAAAAAAATGTCTCAGCCCCAGGCATTCGGGAACTTGCATCTGCAGCACTCACCTTACCCGAAATCAGACACATTTGCTACTTCATTTTTCTATGCCAGCAGTAACTTCTTAAATTCAGCAGATAGAAATTTGCTCTCTTTGTGTTTGGTTGTTGGGTTTTTTGCAGGTGCTGCACACACAAACCTGTCAGGATTCAAACCACTGTATTTCCTTTCCAGCACTGGGTAATCAGGGTCTGAAGCTGTTTCGCGTCAGCTGAGTGTCCATGACAGTGATAGTTCAGTGAGTGGCTCATACCTTTCCAGGTTTTTTGGGATGTATAAACACAGCCTTGAGCCACTGGAGTTTCTCCTTCTGGACAGACACATGCACCCACCTGAAAGCAAGTCTGCTAAGAGCATATGTCCTGGAAGCATTATGTCCTCCAAACCTAGCATGTGTAATGGAGGAGCAGGAAGGTGCTTGCTCCCCATTCAGAAGGGATGAGGGGAGCTGGAGATGGAGCAAAGGGAAGGGACAGCAAGGTCAACACGTTTGGAACTCTCCCTTACCAAACTGATGGCTCAGACTTAGGCTGAGGCCACACCATGTTCACACACAGGCCTCTTCGTGCATTGCCAGCAGGAGGGAAGGAATCAAAAGCCTGGCCAGCCCCTCTCCCACTGGGTCTAGTCCACCACTGTCAAGTACAAAGGCCTCTAGAGTGGCCACATTCCCTATGGGAGCTGCAGAGCTGGGCAGCATGGCAGAGAATGACAAAGGGCTTCTGTGGCTGGAGAAGGTGGTGCGAGAAAGCTGGAAGAAAGCTGGGGCAGTATGCTTCAGGCCCCCAGAGACATCCCAAATGGTTGTTGTGCTGGTCTGGTCCCTGCCAAAGACAGTCAAGGCATTATCTTCAGCTCCTCAAGTATTTAAAGGGAGACAGAAGAGGGCTCAACCATCTATTTGGGAATCAAGGAAGGCTTCAAAGCAGTAGTTCAGGCTGAGACCTGGTTTAAGGATACAAAAAATGGTTTGAAGTATTTTTCATCTGGGTCCACTTTGTTTCAGTTCCTGCATGTCTTGTGAAGCTCAGACAGAGAAGTGCACTGGAGCAGCATGAGAAACAGGGCTGCTGACACTAGGGTGGGCTGCTCCTCAACCTGGTCTGTCCATTTCTCACTAACCAGGGGACATGGATGAATATAAGTCTTGAAGATATGTCTAGAAATTCTGGAAACAGGCATTGAATACATATAGGATGATTTTCCTACTGTTTTGGAACACCTAGAGGAAACCAAGGCACCCCTGTAAAAGCAAGTGAAAACTATCCTGCTAACCCTAGAGGTAACGGTAATCCTGGGCAGGAAGGGGAGATGTTGGCCAGTTTGAAATAACCATTGGGTGGTCAGGAGGCATTTGGAATAACATCCAAATCTCACCAGCTATTGCTCTTTGCCTCCTGATCAGCATTCAGCTTGTTTCTACAGCCACTCTGCTCTTCCCATTGCACAGGTGAGGAGCTGAGGTCCAGAGTAAATCTAAACCGTGAGCACAGAGATACTGCAATAAAGGTGATCCTAAGCACATCTAGTGAAAGGAGGATATTGAGACCAAAACAGCACCCTAGAGTAGGTACAGGATAAGCAACAGGCATGAGACAATGAGCTGGGAAAAGCACTGCCCTTCCCAAAGTGATTAGGAGCAGCCAATTCTTCTCATGCTCTCCTCAGCAAGGGCACATAAGGACACAGCACGTAGCTAAATAAAACCAAGGTGTGTTTTAATGTGGTTCAGATGCGGTTAGGTTTGGTGAGGCAACATTTAGCCCGGGGTCTTAATTGTTCACATTATCCCCCTCTTCCCCCTCCTTGGAATATAGTCTCCTGATTTTGGGGGCGCTGTTCAGGGGGTGCTGTTGGAGACCAAGATGGGCAGTTACTCAGGTGTGTTCACATTAGACGTGTTTGATGCTGACTTTTGCCGACTTAGCAAGGTGAGCAGCTGTTCTTTGGGTGGGAGCTCAGCAAATTTAATTGCCTGGCATGCCTGAGGCCAGCAAGAACAGCGATACTGGAGGGAGGCATGATCTAATAGCTTCCACACACATTTCACCTGGAACAGATCATGTTATGTCAAGGAATCTGTGTTGACATACAAACACATGAGCCTTGGTGATGCCCTGCCTTCAAACAAGTGCATCCCCCTGTTTTCCCATGCAAGGCTCATGGGTAGGATTAGTCTTCCTCCTTTTCACTGCAGTAGTTAAATAAACACTGAAGGGAATGTTGAAGCTAAAAACATGTTGGCATCTCCTAGCTCAAAAGCAGTTTTCCAGACTCCAGACTGAAGCTGAGGGAACAAGATCAGAGCTGCATTTGGTCATAACAGTGGTGTCATCGCTGTGTGGATTCATAAATTAAAGATTTCCAGTTCTTCTAGGTAGAAGAATGGGACACCAGTCACCCACCTCATGCAGAGGCACCTACACTAAATGCCCAACTAGAAGTGACTGAACCAGGAACTGAATCTACCAAAAATACTAACAAACTGTAGAATTTAGTGGCATTCCAAGCCGGCACTTTGATCAAGAAATTGGCAAGAGTCCCAACGGGTTACACAGGCATAGATATAGATAAATGTCCAGAGGGAAAATTAATTATGGTGTATGTTCAGGGAACTGCATTAAGTATTTTCTTTCAGGTCTTAATCTAATCAATATCTCCTCTGAAATATCTGTATAGAACCTGATGGTCCCCAGTTCTGACACTATCTGGGTAGTGCCTGTGTTCCTGAAAGGGCTTTTCTGGGGTCCCCATCACTGCTGATCTCCCCATTGCCAATAGCTGTGTGTGCCATGGCCCAGCAGAGCATTTCAGAACTTCAAAACCTGGTATTGTTCTGATTTGGGATGAAAATTTTTAAGACTCCCGAATTCTCTGCCAAAGGGCCTTGGTGCTGGGGACATCAGAGTCTTTCTGGAGGCCTTCTGTAAAACACACTTTAAAAGGTCACCAGGTCCTGATACCTGAAATGCCTCTGTTGAATGGCAGCATGAAGGGATTGAAGTTGAAGCAACAAGAAACCCTGTTCAGCATGTCCACATATACTTTCCCGGAATTATTGAGGTGTAGTGGGATGAATGTCAGGGCAATAGACACCCCGTGCAAGTGTGTTGCCTTGCGGTGCACCCTGTTCTTACCTGGTTCACCAGAAATTTTCAGATGAGCGATTCAGTTTAGGAAGAGGAACCGGGCTATCTCATAAGAGACAGAAATTGTGAGCATTTATACCCAGGATTAATTACTCCAAGGAACAGACTCTGCCCAGCAGAAACTCCAACTACTTCAGTGAGGACAGTGCATCAAAACTTCCTTACAGAGGAGTCCCCGCCATGGAGAGGACTAGTCATGAAAAAGACCAACAGACACAAACCACAAAACGTCTTACTGTCCTGTTTCTCCTGATGACATTCTGTCCTCCTGTCCTCCTGATGACATTCTGGACAAGTTCACCTAACCTGATGGCAGGGCTCTGAGCATCCTCAGCACTTGTTGCTCATGTATATTTTCTGCACCTTCTACTTGAGAAATGTCAGTTTACGGGACTCTTTTGGGAAGTATATTTGAGAGGTTTGTGCCATCTAGTGGTCACACTGATTTCTCAATCTCGTTGTTTTTACCAGAAAAAAAATTAAGCCACATTTAGTGGTTATGAGAGGACTAAAATAAGGGGTTACAAAATTAACGTTTAAATTAAATTCTGTTCTAAA